GAGCCATGAGGCCAGCAATGCATGGGGAGTTGTTGACAGTTGACAGTGCCATTGTTCCCTAAACAAAGGTTCCTTGAAACCATCTTGTTGGACTTCCTCACGGAAACAACCTGTTCATCACCTTCAGGAAGTACAATGGACCTCTTACCCGTACCCCTGTTGACAGGTGTCCATGTTGAACAACAAGTGGCAAAGATTGCAACAACCTCATCAAACTTGCCATGTAGGATCAATTTAATTGCCAGCGCTAGGCCCGCTGAACCGTTTAAATCCATGCTGCTGCGCTTACCAAACCTCCGTGGTTTGGTATACTCAATGTCGTAGGCCACCGACTCAAAGCCAGCCGCGGAAGCAACTCGGGAAATGCGCGCTACACCGCTAAAATATTCAATCACCTGAACATCAGATTTAGTAATACCATCATCCATCCATGAGACCAGAAGGGTCAAAAGGATGATGACCTCAAACAAGTCAGTTCCCACCAACAAAAGCATTGACATCCAAAGTGTCGCATTCACTGTTTGATGTGCGACTTGACTTCTCAAGATGAGTCACCTTTGGAACCTTGAGGGCAAAAAGGCGCCTGAAGAAGATGTCCATTTCCAACGGGCCCATGGCTATAGAAGGGTTCGGTCATTCAGAATTTGAACAGCTAGAAGCTAAAGGCCAGAAGAATCAAACAACAGTGATGTTGCATCAACAGAATCTCAAAGTATAGCTCTTTGTCAACCCATTGAAACCTCGCCTCTATCCTCCCGCTGTGGCCCCACTTCCACTCCAAACTTCGCGAGGCCGATTGCACCTCTCCGAAGGCCATACATTGGCCTGGTGCAGGAGACTTTGGGCAAGCGGGTGAACCAATGGTGCAAATCGGGGGAAGCAGTGGTGGAGATCAGCTACAATACTAGAGTATAGTTATAGTTAATATATTATATACATAGGATGCTCTATATATTTTTTGAATGTATCCTCTCTTGAATCAGATAACATTGACATTTGTTCACCTCCTGCCCACCCCGCAGAAGTTGCTCTAGGCTTCAAACACGTGAGAGATCAAGTCACGAGTGATGCACTTGTGTTGCCCAACAGGCATGCGCCAAGAAACACATGCCAACAAAATGCACCAGCTACATCGCTCAGAAAGTTGATCAAACAGTGAATCAAAAATACTCCCTTCAGCTTCACAAGGTTTGAGATGGTTTAAGCAAAATGTCAAAACAAAGCCATCATCCATCAGCAGCTGGATCTAAAATCAATCTAGGATGCTTTCACGACTTTAAGAAAGCTCTCAACACAAGACTCTGCCAGATCAACGTACTTCTCATCCTGCGGCGGCGTCTCCCGGAAGCATTTCTGGCATTTGTTCCACCATGGCTCCTGGAGAGTTTGTAGGCTACTTCAGTTCTTCTCTACACCAAATGTGAGATAACATGTAGTTTACAAAAACATGTGCAACATTCAAAAACCAGTCCTCCCAGTGACTCAGCTTGACATTGAGAGCATTGAGTTCTGGCTCCACCTTGGCTTTGAAGACATCTCTGATCGCCTCGAATTTCAGCTTAGCCGGACATGTCGTAGGGCAAGACCTCCTTGCAAAGCTCTTGATGTTGCCACCCACACGACGCCTTTTGGCCGGTTGCTCTGCCTCAGCTTCCCCTGGATTCTCACCAGAGGATTTCGCATGAGGCTCCTCATCCCCCATGGCTGCATCTTCCACTTGACCCTTTGCAGAAGATTCATCCTTGCGATCCTCAGGTTGCTCAGCTTCATTCTTGTCAGATCCTTCTTTCTTAGCATTGGCCGCCTTGGCCTTTGCCTTGGCCTTTGCCTTCGCTTTGCCCTTGCCACAAGGTCTTGCCTTGGCAGCCTTGGCCTTTGCAGCCTGTCCCTCCCCTTCCTTTGCACCAGGCTCTGGCACTTCTTTACTCTCAACTTCTTCAGCATCGGCATCATCTAGAATCTCGACCACAGCAGCCACAGCAGCGACCTGGCCGCGACCACGACCACGACCTTTGCCTCGACCTTTGCCTTTGCCAGGAGCCTTTTCTTTTTTTTGCGCAAACTGCTGGATGCGGGGAATCACAGGCACTTCTGCATCTGAAAGCCTCGCTTGGAACACCTGGAGCATTTCTTCCTCGCTCAAGCCATTCTCAGCCATGTAGGCCTGCAAGACTTTGTTGACCTCCCCAAGGGTTGACTCACTCAAACTATCTGGTTTCTTGTTCCTTTCCGTGGCAGCAGTCAGCTCAATAAGGCAGTTGTGGCCACTTCGCTCAGATGCCGCTTGTGCCAGATCTGCTGCAACTGCACGCTCAGCCTTTGCGCACAGTTGTTTGAGCTCTTCGCCAACCTGACCTTCCTCAGTTGGTGCGGGAGCTTCAGGAGTATGCAATTCTGGAGCTTCAGGAGTAGGCGCTTCTGGAGCTTCAGGAGCTGGCGCTTCTGGAGCTTCAGGAGTTGGCACTTCTGGAGCTTCTGGAGCTTCAGGAGTAGGCACTTCTGGAGCTTCAGGAGTTGGGACCTCTCGAACTGGAGTAGGCACTTCTGGAGCTTCAGGAGTATGCACTTCAGGGCCTTCAGCAGTAGGACCTCCTTCAGCAACAGCAGGAGCAGTTGCAGGAGACTCAGCGCTTTCAATGACCGGTTCAACATCAATCTTCTGGACAACCGGCTCTGGAGAATCCCTTGCAGCTTGCTCACCCTCGAAGTTGATGTTGCTGTTGGCCCCCAGCCGTCGCAGAGCTGCTACGTAGACATCTTCCGCAGGAGCATCTTCCACAGGAGCGGCTTTCACCGGTGACGAAAGCTCAAGGTCTCCAGCATGCAAATCATATGGGACTGTGTCACACATGTCCATGGGTGACGCAGTAGAAGTCAGAAGCTGTTGCTGCCGTGCCTCTTGCCGCTGCTTCATCATTTGCCTAAGATGTCATCAATGCAAACTTGATCAATCCAAGCTGCAAAAAGACCGGCATGTAATGAACATATTTTACAACTATAAAATCCAAATTGCTGAATCAATTGAATGCGTGCTTTGACATCATCACCAGCGCCGCTTTCTCGGGACCTAACAGGTGATGGCAATGGCAGTCACACCCGAGGCTTTGATCTCAAGCTCATGGTGGTCAGGCTCCTTTGCCACCTCCGCTTCAGGGATGCTGTAGCCATCATCCACAAGATCGAAGGACTCTTCAGACACAATGATGCCTTGCTTAGCATCCTCCAGCGACTTGCTCTCAAGCTGCTCAAGATCAACTCCATCATCATCGATGATGATCACACCATCACCCCCCGTCATCTCACGAGCCTTCAGGCGTTCTTGCTGCTCAACTTTCAGCTTGTCACCCCAGTGCTTGAACATCACATCGAAAAACTCCGAGGTGCCAGGTGCCTGGATCATACAGGGAAAATAAATAGTAAGTGGTATAGAGCTGCCAGCAACATCATACAAAGCCCCGCTCTCCTGTCCCCAACTCTCCCTAAACAAAATTATGAGCATTTAATCATTCATCCAAAGCACTCTGCGGTTGGGACTGTGCTCAGCACCATGGCGGGAATCCAAGCCGGTGCGACGCATTGCATGACTGAAAAGTTTCTTGACAGACCATGCGTCCTGATGGATCTTGATAGGCTCCATGGGCAACCCCAATAGGTTCCTGAGCTTGTAGACCTGCAGGGAAGCAGATATATAAAATATATTGAATACTATACTATATATATCATCTATAGGTAGAATCTGATCTCAAAACCACCACCCCAAGCTTTTGGTTTGCAAGGTCGAGGTCCCACCTGGGCTTTCAAGAAGTTTATGCGGGGAGCTTTCAGAATCTGGGTCTTGGCGCAATGGAAATCAGCAATCACCATCATGATCGAGGAATTCAATCCAACAGCCTCCAGCGATGGAATGTTCTGGACTTGTGGTGAGGGCCACCGGAGAAGGTCGCCAGTGTCCCGTAGGTTCGTACGTGCTGCCCGGCATTCCTCAAGCAGGTCAGCTAAAGCGTAGTCCATGACCTTCGGAGTCTTTGACTGCTTCACCACATTGGCGACCTCGTGAACCACCTGGGGCTCCGTTTTCACCATCATGGCTCCACACTTGGATTGGAATATCCTAGAATACCCTAGATTACTCGATGCAAACCCACCTTGAGAATCAAAAATAGGCGGGATCAGGCTGCACAAGTCTGAAATGCAGATGTTGCGAGCTGCTTGCAACATCAATGCTTCATCCCCATGACCAGCCCAGCCGGCCTCCAGGAGAGTCGCCATTGAGATTGGCATAGCTTGGCCCAGCTTGGCCAAAGATGGCCAAAGTGCTGGTGGATGGCCAGCTGTTGGTGTTTTATGGTGGTTGTGTTGTGATGAGGAAATGAGTTGAAACCCCAATACTATGGACATTCTTCGTCCTTGCGATGTCATGAAACACCATCACATGCAATCGCCTCTTGATAAAAAGCAAGATTCGCCGCTGTTCTGAGGAAACTGCCGCCAATATCCAAAGGCATCTTTTTTTCCAAAGGCAAAAAAAACAGACATAGGAAGATGCAGGTATATATATATATACAGTATATACAGCTACAGCTACACTTGGATACAATTGGAATATATTAGAGATATTGCAGTTATAATATATGAATGCGCATGATGAGGCCTACCCCAACAATCTGAAGATACAGTTCTGGGCGGGTTGATCCAACTTCCTGGAAGATTTGTATTCAGCAACTCTGGAAGATTTGTATGCAGTGTGAAGCAGAGTCGAACAACTTTTAATAAATTTTACTAACTTTTATTGCATATACAAAGGCCAGGCGCTGGCCAGGCGTGCAGCATATTTGTTCATAAGAGGTAGGTCGACCACTTTGTGAGTCTCAGTGTTTAAGTTCTGTGGTGACCCCTTGGCAGTATCTGCACCAGGTAAACTAGCAATACCTAGTATTACATTGATTTGCCAAGGTTGCATGCGCTGCGATACATGCCTGATGCGGCCTTTAGGCATGTGATCACGACGGCTCAAAGCCTGAATCAATCAATGCCGCCAAAGTGCACTTATCACCAGCGACTCTCCGGTACATGTCAACGTGGTATTTGCCTGTGCTCGCACACTCTTGCTCCTGCAAAATTCCAAAGTCTGCGCGGGGTGGAGGCATGATCTGTGCCACACATGTCTTGCCATCCAATGCGCGTTCAAAATCAATCTCGCATTCAAAGTCTTCTTGCGTGCATGCGCAGGGCTTGGAGACCACAGGAAGCTTGTTCTTCTTTCGGTTGAAGCACTTTGATGTCTGCTTTCTTCTGACATATCGGACTTGTTGGCCAAGCAAGCAGCCACATTTCTTTCCATATGTGCAACCAAGATGTCCCACTCCATCTGACGGCGCCCATGTCTCATAGTCCGAGTCAGAATGACAAGGCATCCAGCCCAAGACATCAAAGTCAATTCTATATACAATGCCCTTGCCTCCACGTTTTCCAAAGGCCAAGAAATCAGTTGAGACTGCAGTTGGTTCAATGAGTATGTTGGTTACGTTGAAGGCCTCCTGATCTAGATGCAAGCTGTTCCAAGAGAGGCCTTCGTCCAAGGAGTAAATCACCTTATTGGTCTCTTCGTTCACCGCAGCCATGACCAAAACGGCTCCATGATTGCCAAACTCATAAATGTGGACCCCTTTTCGAACTTCTTGCCAATTGAGGCCTCCGTCTCGAGAAAGGTACGTGTTGGACTCCTCTGCCTTGTAGCTCAAGCTTGGCCCAATGTTCCCCGCGGCCATGATGATCCCAACGGCCTTGTCATAGGAATAGAAAGGCACAAAGTGCTCTTGAAAAGTGGTATCGTGCAAGTGCAGGGAACATGCAGAGCAGTTCACTGGACGCTTCAACGCATCATGAGTTGGTGCTTTCAGAGGGGACCATGCACCTCCAACATTGAAGGAGATGACACTGTGAATCGAGGTATTTCGGGCTGCAGCCAGCCGCCTTTCGGCCAGCCGCCTTTCGGACACCGACACAGTGTGTGCCTGTTGACCAAGCGCCTTCAAATACCGAATCGACTGCTCCGACTGGGATTGCGTAGAGTCCTCTCCAAGCTGGTAATTGCCACGATCGAGCCAGCCCAAATGCGAAAACGATGATGGCAACGCCGCCGCTTCAGTAGCATTCTCAAGTGCCCAAACATTTGCAAAATAGATTCCCTTGAGATTCGAGACCTTCTCAAAAGCAGCTCGCCCATTGACGCCTACATTGTGCTGCAGCGATAGAACATATCGCGTGCCTGAGGGATCAGAGACGTACACATTGCCGAGACCTTCCCCATGATTCACATGAAGAAGTACGAGGCCTTCGGATGCATCAAGGATGGTGTAAGATTTTTCTGCAAGGGGTGTTGGGATGATGGCGTGCTTGAAGGCACTCCCATCTTGGCTCACCATCAACTTCACCGACTGGTCTTTCTCATCCTGCAGCCTTGCAACGAGGATGAACTGCTCTGAGATCACAAACTTATTACCATTCTCCACAAGCATTTGTTGGCTCTTGCCGAAGTCATCAGTCGACACCAAGTCCACACCCTTCATCCACTTCACGAGCATTTGTTGCTTGCTGCTCTTGTCACGGAAGTGTGTGAAAAAGATTCGATCAGCTAATTTGTTGCGACCCCAGCTGAACTGCACCACATGTTTGGAGACGAACTTGAGATCAGTTCTTCCCAAGTCCTGCGTCACCAAGAGCTGATGTGTGCACGGGCTGCCAGGACGATTGAGCTTGCAATCATGAGTCCACGCAGAGAGCAAAGCCCATTCGGGTCGCGTGGGGTGGAACATGAACGAAAGTCGGATAGCGTCTGGGTGCCGAATTTGGTGCCACGATATGCCTGCATCATCACTGGCAAAAAGTTCCAAACCACTGCCAACCGCCACAACGACAAACGTACTTGCGGGGCTCATAAGCAACCTGACCACATGGAGGGCCCGAGTTCCAGATTTCAGCACTGTTGCCTCAAAGGTGTTGCCTTTGTCTTTACTCCGATGCAAGGTGCCCTGCTCAGTGTAGAGCATGACAATCTCACGGTCTTTCCCCAACCATAGAATATCACTAACCGGTGAATCAAACTCCGATTTCGTCACGTTTGGCAGCTCATTTCCAACCACAAAGCAGTGTCTCAAGCTGGAAACCAGCAGGATTCCCACTGCAAGAGGTGACATTGCTTGAACGTGGGAGCACGCACCTGCTAAGCCTGCTAAGCCTGCTTTGTTGATTCGCTTGTTTGTGCTGCCAGGGCACGTCTGCTCAACAAAACTCATGTCCTGCTGTTCTAGCATGTATGTATCATCCCTTCAGGAATGGGAAGCTGGATGCATTGAGCCTTAGGTCCTTTGCCACATTGATGTTGGCTCGCAAAACACAATCCAATCAAACTAAACATCTCATCGCTCTTGCCTATGTATTATATGATTCGGTCTGCTCTCCACACCTCCAAAAAGGATGCCCAGGCGGTGAGGCCTTTCAGTTAGGAATGATAAATGAAAGCCTTATCAGGAAGCAAAATACAGCTTGCATGACTCAGCAAAACGGGTACTCCAGAGCCTGACATGCTCTTGAAATTGAAAAATGAGCCGAATCTGTTCAAACAGGTGAACAGGTGTGTCCGATGGGTTGGTTCATTGCTGGTTTAATTCACTCTTACCTAAGTCGCTAATCAGTTTTTGGGGTGACGGGTTTACTTGTTGTTCGCATCTTGCAACGCCGCACAGCTGTCATGTTATGCGCTTCCCAGGCTGCAGCCATGAGAGAGTTCTCCACGAGAAGTCCTTTATCCTGCGCACACTTGCAACACAGAAATAAGTTGGCAAAACGTGCCCTGCTCATCTTGGAAACAATGTGGTCAGGAAGAATCTATGTCTATAAATATATACACAATCCCCTGTAAAATTCACACGGCAACCCCGGGGGGACCATTTTGTAGCTACAGATTGGGCACCCCAGGTTCAACCCAACCAATCCACTATAAAATCCAGCCCCCCGAGATAGAAACCTTAAATCTATTGTGGTGAGTGGGTGCACACCCTTGTGTCAACAGGAACACACTTAACCAACCATCTCTACAAAATGGGTTCTAACCCTCTACAAAATTATGGTGAGTGGGTGCACACCCGTGTGTCAACAAGAACACGCTTAACCAACCATCTCTACAAAGTGGGCTCTAACCCTCTACAAAATTATGGTGGGTGGGTGCACACCCTTGTGTCAACAGGAAGATACTTAACCAACCATCTCTACAAAATGGGTTCTAACCCTCTACAAAATTATGGTGGGTGAGTGCACATGCTCGAGTCAACGGAAAGATATGTAAGAACATGCCGTTTCTATAAAATCGACCCTCCCAAGTAAATTATGTTTTTGCTAACATATCTAACATGCTCAAAATCAACCCTGAGCACTGTACAGATTTGACCGCCCAGGTGAAGCATTTTGTAGAAACCCAATGTTTTCTCTACAACATGGTCATTTTGAGCACCTGGGTTGACTGAATCTGTAGTGGAAATTTTGCAGGGATGATACACACATATATACATATATATTTTCATTATTTTTCGCACACATGACACACACACACACACACTTGAGATTTTGTGTACGGACGCTGGTGCGGTTTACCACACGCCGGCCTAAGTGAAAACACTAACAAACCAGGGTGAGTACAAAGTTCTAAAGTCTCCAAAGATCAAAGTCTCCAGATTCTTGAAGCCTCCAAAATCAAAAAGTTTAAAGCTCAAAGCGGCGACGGGCCACTCTTCGGCGTCACCCTGGGCTCTCAGTAAGGAGAGGCACACTTATAGAAATGCGTACTGATGTGAAAGCGGTGGCCACACGCCAACCTGGGCACCCAATTCCTGCAAAGGTCTAGTAAACCTACGGAGCCTGGAGGTCTTCAAGAGGAAGCAGGGCCAACAGCTCAATGCGTGACTGCAGAAAAGGCTTAAAATTGAAAGGCAAATACGTCAGCGCTCGCCGGGCACTGATATCAAATCCACTTGGTGCGGTCTTTGTTAGATGAGGCACACCAAGGGATCCTCATCCCCTTGCTATACAAATCAAGATGAGTGCTCCCCTAAATCCAAGCTGTAAATGGTCGATGCAGAATCGCGTTTTGGTAAGCCACAGGTAGTGACTTCCTTTGACTGGTTCGGTCAAGCTCCCTCAAGCAAATGATTTGCCGTTTCCCCACTCCGACCGGCGGGTTCCGCGCTCTCTCTCTCTCTCTCGCACAGCGGCCGCGGCGGCCCCCTGCTGAAACAATAAAAACGTAAAGAAATCTCTAATCCAAAGGGATCCCTGTGACTCCAAGGGGCACACACTTGAGAAGGTTGCTCCGTGGAGCGCGATTTCAGGCTGCTTC